ACAGCGCCAGTCATACGTGCCAACAACACACCACACACATCTCTTCTTCAATTTTGTCCTCTACGTCATCGTACAAAGAGCGAAAGAAAAGCAAGTAGGAGATTCAAAGTAAAATAAACACATGGAGAGGGATAGCAGCGTACGGGCCAAAGGCTAAACACAAAGACTATTTCTTTCCTGTCGTTGTTTCTACGATGAAGAAGCCTTGGTACCCCGAAGATTGTCATCGGTAGCCTGTACCACCCCCTCTCCGTTCTCCTCGGCATATGCCCCTTCTTCACCATTGTCGCCAGCAGTGAATTCAGGCTCGAGGTACTCGTCCGCAGCTGTTGCATTCTCTCCCTCATCGTACACTGTCTGATAGTACCCATCATATGCTTGGTGCTGTTGTTGTGCCTCCTCTTCGGCAGGGTACTCCTGCTCGTATTCATAGGCATTCGTACCATCTCCTTGGTCATACCCTTCGTATTGCTGCTGCTCAGTGGCGTAATCCTGTGCATATTCGGTTCCGTTACCTGCATAATAATGTCCGCCATATGGGTCATCTACTCCAGGCTGCGACGCCGCTAGGCGCTGCGACCGCAGCTCGTCCTCAATGATGGCCTGCCGCTCCATTTTTCTAGTTTGGTGGCGAGCCTGGTACCACACGTAGCGGGCGAGAATGAGCAGAATAGGAAAAATTGCGATCAGACTGAGCAGCCACATCCCTGTGAGACTGTCGCAACGTGGAACCATATTGATGGGCGTGTCGTACATCATGTTTTCCTTCTCAGCATACAGCTGCGCCATGCGGCCATTCGAATAGAGTTGCACTCGTTTGGCCTGCGTGATGCCTCTACGCACTCTGTCTGTGAACGCGAGGGCCACTTCTAGTGTCCTTTTGAGATCAGATATGTTGACCATCGTATGCTGCTGCGAGATCGTCTCCGACGCAATGTAGCGTTCACAAGGCGAAGGAACTAAATTGCAGAACGAGTCCGCGACGCTCCCACTCATATCGGTGACGACAATGGACGTCAGGCAGTTGCGCGTGACCGAACAGAACGGCANCACCATACCGCTTCCCGCGCCGCGGCACGGAGCCGTGTAGAAACCGGTCCCTATCCTCGACAGCGGCGTGAGGGGCCTGCCTGCAGCTGCAGAAACGGCGGACGTGACATCACGGAGCATCTCGTAGGCGTCGCCCTCCACCCAATTAAGAAAGGCATCGCTCGTGAGGGCAGACGCCGCAAGCGATGCCGCCTGCACCATCACCTGCAGCGACAAACTTCCCGACACTGCGGGTACGAGGAAGCCGGCGCACGGGCTCAATGTGTCAACGACTTGCAGCGGTCCGCACACGGCAGACGTGACGGCCGCCGCGAACGGCTGCAGCTCCTCGAGCGTCTCCGGCCAGCCGACAGCCATAACGGTGAGGTTGGCGACATGCACGTCAATTTGACCGGCAGCGCGCTGCGGCAGGCCGCACAGCAGCTGAAGGACTATCAGCAGGAGCAACGCCTTCGAGGAAGACAGCATTGCAGCTATGCAGATCCGAGACTTGGGCTGGATATCCGGCCAGCGTGTAAGCAAATGCGGCCGAAATCAATAACAAGAAAAAGAAACGAAAAAAGGAGAGAACATAATATCAAAAAAA